AAACTGGTCATGTCATCGTGAAGTCTGATGTGAATTTAAATTACCCAGTGAAGTATATGAACTTAACTGCAGACTGTAGTCTTTGCTTGCATTGACAGAGTGGCAGCAATCATGTCCCCAAGCAGACCACAAAAACACAACTGAAACCATAAAAGCTGAAACTCAGCACTGAACTCTGGCTTTAACTCATTAGACACAGATTCCAGGTAGGTTCAAGAAGGACCTAAATACTTGTTTGACTTCCGTTCCGTTAGAAGACCTTTGCCTGCAATGATACACAGCTGACTTTGCAATGTACTGAAGCTTTAGATGAGTCAGATTCTAGTTACACAAAGTTTTAGTCACCATCGATCCCAAAGTAAAATAGCTGCTCTCACTCACTTATACTTCAAGTATGTTCAAAATCCATCCATCCATTATCGTACTGCTTTTTTCTGTCAGGGCGTCGTGAGGCCTGGAGCAGATCCAAGCTGTCATCGGGCAAGAGGCGGGGTACACCATGGACTGTTCACCAGTCAATCACAGGGCTGAAATGTAGAGCCAGTAAACCAGCCCCATAGTCACCATTTTTTCAGTCACCAACTTACCCAACCAGCATGTCTTTGGACTGTGGGAGGAAGCCCCGACATTCACAGGGAGAACATGCCAACTCCACACAGCTCCTGTCCGACAGGGAACAAGGAACCGTTCGCTGTGAGGCAACAGCGCTAACCACTGCACCTCTGTGCAGCCGCATGTTCAAAATCATTTGTTTCAATCAATCAATTAATCCATCAATCTTTATGTGTCGCGCTGATTCATAACGAATGTTATCTCGAGACACTAACAGAAGCTATGCTAAGGCTCTTGTTTTTTCTTTTTTTTTAATCATGCTTTTGTGCTGTATAATACCAGAATTATCTACAATAATTAAAATAATTGTTATTGTCATGTGCAATACATATTCCACCTGGCAGCTCAGAACAACTCAAAACATTTCACATATTTGGACCGTGTCCTGACATGACACTAGAGGGGCACACAAGTATCTTAATTAGAAGCTTAGGACCAAAAGTGAGAACAGGTAAATGGTTGTTAAATTGAAAACACTTTTTTTCTAGACTTCAGACCTCTCAAAGCGCTTTGATCCAAGTGCCAGGTACAAATTGTTTTCCCAGCAGTGATCCCGTGAAGGTCTGGTCAGGTCAACTGAAAAACAAAAAACAAACTTCCCATTAAACTTTGAAGAGTTATCTAATATCAGGCATAGTTTCATCTCCATGCTTTCTCAAAGACTTTTGCCTCCGCTTCATTATAGAGGTGATAAATTCTATTTTGGTACTCGTGATCATAGCACTGAAAATAGCTTGAACAGCAGTTAAACTTCCCCAAAACTTTGTTACCGGTGATAATTGCACTCAGTTTGAAGAAGGCAATTACTTTTTGTTCTTTTATAATAAGTTTTGTTTTTCTTCAGATGGAGACTAACATGCTGCTCTAAATGCAGCTCAGTTTAAAGCAAACATTATTGAATGGTTGTGTTATTTCATCCCTTAGCATAAAGTTCCACTTTAAACCTAATGTGGGAAGTTTTCAACTGCTCATTAACCCGACTGAAATCTATGCTGACGTCTCTATATGACCCACAACAGCAAAATAGACCATCAGGGACAAGAGTGTGTGTTTAAAAATAGGTATTTTTAATGCGTCACTGCCACTGGGCCAATGTCAAACCAAACAATTAACAGCGCACACACCAGAACGACAAAAGGATTCATCTCTGTGATACATACAATAGCTGTTTTTAAAGTCCAGTTACTTAAATATTTTAATGACAACAGGTTTGTTCAGTGGATAAGCACTCAAATAATCTGAATCATGACCATACTGACCTGATAGAGGGATTCAAGCATTGATATAAGTGGAATGAAGGATCCATAAGAACACACTGAATTGTTAACTAGATTGTTAAATGTCACTTCAGCTTCGTCCCTCCAATCCAACAGGGCTCCATAAAGACGTTGGATGTATTGGCAGCTACACATAAACAGGAATAACTTTACACTTTTTCTTGTGTTCCTCATGAGATGAGTTGGGGGGGTCTTTCATTAACATGTAAATGATATTCCAATGGACAGATGGTGCAGAGAGCAAACAACCTGTATAAATAAACACAGGATGGTCAATGAACAGGTCACATTGTAGACATGTGTGTGGGTCTACATGTTAAACAGCAGAGGAGAATAATACATTGTGTTCTCATTGGAGGTGAGAATATCGATGTAGAACATTGGTTCCCAACTTGTCACGCCTCAGGACCCACCACAAACTCCTCCCTGAAAAATCGTGACCCAAATCTATATATTTTTCAGCCGATCAGATTGATTTAATGAAAAATTGTGCGGTTGCAGCTTCCATCATCTGTTTTGTGCCTCAGACGCTGCAAAACATCTGACTGAAGCAAGAAACTGACCCGTCTGAGACCAGGTTTTTTTTCCAGGCACACGCTTGCGACTCACTGAAAACAGCTCCGGGACCCACTTTTGGTTCCCAACCCACCAGTTAAAAACCACTGATGTAGAAGACCACAAAATGATTAGGTAAGTCTGTTGATAAAAAACCCTGCAGCCCATGTGTCCTCTTCTGGGGCATTCAGCATGATTATTAGTCTTATTAATGTCAATGATGACAATTTTAATCTTAACAAGTTTTTTATGTACATAAAAATTCCATCCATGGTCAATTAATCAAATAAAGTTTCTTTGTTAGCATGAGCTCCTGCTACCTGGGGTTCAATAGAGCCGCTGAGTGGTTCACAGTGCAGCAAAATAGACTTGTATTATAATGAAGTCAGTCAATAATAAGCTTTTTCCTGTTGGAGGAGTCGTGGAAGAATGATCAGTGTCACAACTAACAACAGTAACAAATACATTGTTTTCCTGAGGTAAGGTTTATATCGCAATCCTTATGTGGGCAATGTAGCAGAAATGGAAGTCTCTCTTTTCATACAAACACCTTCAGGATCTGAGTGAGACGCAACAGGATTTCAACTGACACTAATGTAAAACGATCTGTGTCATCATTAGACACAACGAGAAACTTCACATTGCTACAGAGTAGAAAGACTTACAACCCGTTTAGTGTGGGGGTCTAGGGTGACTGAAAACAGAGTTTGTTAACCCAACCCCCGATTTCTTTCCTACCTTTTCCTTAAGTTTTTTGTGTCTTAACATAATCAAAATGATGGTTTGACATCGACCTAACAGACGCTACAATGTGCTTGTTAAAAAGACACTAATTGGCATGTGACAAAACAACTGAATTTTACTTTCCGAAGTTAAAGTGACAGTTTGTAGAAAAATGGACCATTAACTTACATCATTAAAAACATAAGGAATTCAACCTAAACATGTTGATGATACATTAACAATAATTAGATCAACCCTTTTTCCCAGGCCTTAACCATACCTTAGTCACCCTGTGTAGATCTTGTAGAAGACAAAACATTGCAGGCTGCACGGTCCAGGACATTCCTGAATCATCCATGCCAACATGTTGTATGGTATTTAAAAAAGCTACATGTCAGCTACTATAACTGAAGAGGAAGATAAGTAAAGGAAATAGGATGAATGTTTGAGTGGGGGATCTTCAACTTTAAATGTTAGACTACATTTTCAGCAAGCTCACTTTGGTTGTGTCTCTGCAAACAGAGCGTTGCTGAAGGTTCAGGAAACACCAATTGCAATAATTGCTACAGTAGGTCACAGAGCTTTAGTCGCAGTGGCCTTTAAAAGCAATTCAACAGGCACAAGTTGTCTTCGGTAATGAGTCTTTTATCGATCTCCACGCTGTACACTCAAACTGCTGGCTGGAAAAGCCAAAAGCTTGCCCACTCATTAGAGCACAAGCTCCTCCGGACCCCTGCAATGTGGAGATGCAATTGCATGGAGGAGCAGTTATTAGTCATCATGGTGATGCCAGCTCACTCGGTTCTGTCATGAAATCTCCTAGTAACTGAAACTTGAGCCAAAAAATCCCTGAATATCCATTCGTTTTTTGCACATTTTAATGATTGTTAATGGCTTTAAAAAGAGTGGAGGTTTCATCAGTGACATTTTACATGAACAAGAATTCATATTTAGCTTTTAAAAACATGTAATAGATCTGTTTTTGTTTCTTCTGCAGCTAAATCGTTAGCTGAACCAAAAGTGATAAGCTATTGTTTAAAGGCAGGGTTGGTCATTTTTGAAAACTAGCATGATTTTGAAAGTAGCATTCCCCTCTGTGCTCCCTCGCCCCTCACTTACATGCACGAGCGTCGTTGCTTGAGAAGCGGCCCTCAGCTCATTGCTTGCATTGTGTAGAAACTATGTCGTCTCATGTCTCAGTCAGCGGGAAGTAAACACTAAACTCTACCATAATACATGCAAAAAAAAAAAAAACATGACTATTTTACTACTCCAACAGCCAACGACAAACTCACAGTATAAACTCTGTCAGCAGTGACGTGCTTTGAGTGTGGGCTTGTTCATGCATGGGGTAGAGGTGAGCAGGGAGGCGTGATTGGTTCATCAGATTGGTACCTCATGGCAGACATCAGTTAAAGGTTTTACAGGCTTTTTTTTTTACAACTGCTACAGATGATGGATTTCCTTGTTTCTTGTTCCTTTTTTCAGAGCACAAGTTATTAATGTCTGTCAGGACCAAAAGACAATTTCAACCAAAATCTTAAAAAGTGTATCTGGACAAAATGACCAACCATGCCTTTAAGGGCAAGGCTGCAGAAGAATCAGACTAACGGAGGGTAAAACTGTTAAACTTTACTTCACGTCTAAAGTATTTGGCTCTTCATTGATGTTGAGGTCAAAGTGCAAGAACAGATGAAGGAGGCCGAACTTGGAAAATATTTTTTTTTTATTTTCAAATGCTGGTAAGGTTTCTATAGAAATCCAAAAAACAAAAGGACACAATTTATTTTCACAAACGTAATTATTTGAGCCCTTTAATTTCCATCACAGAAACAGACAGCTCAGAGACCAGATCTTCTACCGACGAAGAAAAGACACTACAGCTCTTAAAGACGTCCAGAAACGTGGAGATGTGTTGAGCTTAATAACATGACTAACAAAATAAAACACGTATGGTATGTTCATTCTTTTAGATTGCAAAAGTTGTTTACACGGCGGTCAGCACAAACATCATTTATGACAGGTCAAAACTACAAGGAGACAAATCTATCCTGCAACAAATAAAGCTACAATACTTCAAACGAGATAGTAAAGACGACTCTCCTCCACGATTAGGTGATTTGTGTTTATTTGAACCTGCTTGGTCTGATAGATGAGTGTGAATTACCACATTAACACCCGTACTGTCGTAGCTGTCAGTCACATCAAAATATGTAACAGCAACTTAAAAAAAAAAAAAAAGTTTCTTGTGCTGTCTCTTGGCCCTCATTTTTCTTCTTTTGGAATAATCCATCCACCCAGGGAATCCGTCTTTAACACCTCAATGACTCCGGTCATTCAGACAAACTGGCTACACATGTGCTGTAAGTGAATCTGAGATGGTGAGACTGGTGGGTGGTGGGCTTGTGACACAGTTGTCCATCTTAGCGCACTCTCCCAAAGATGAGGCACTTAAAATGAACTGGTATACAATTAAAAGTAATTTAGTTTCCGGCAAACAAACATTGTTTCGTTACAATCAAACAAAAACCTGTCATTTTTATGACATCATAATTCAGCAATTCGTGGTTTGTTAATGTTTCACAAATAAACTTTTGTTGATGTTTGACATTTCTGATTGTTGACGAGCCCACGTTTCTAACTCTGACATTTGAGCGTATACAAAGCTGTATTTACCTGTACTCTTCCTTTAAAGTTCATGACAATGGCTTTTTCTTACCTTTGCAGTAACTGCCTATGATGTACTGTTAGTCCTACACATGAAGTGCTGAGTTATTGGTTCATAATAACCAACAATAACTCGTGAAAAATCTACCACATTGTTACAGGATGTGTTCTTGAATACATGTGATTTATAAAACACCCAATGCCAGCCCTACACAGGCGTTAACTCGACATGGGATACAAATTGAGATCTACAAGGACAAGGCAGATAGTTTGTGAATCAGTTATAAAAACAAAATACAATTACTTTTCAATACCAATCTGCACAAATGTTGAAGTCAGTTCGGAGTGCCATGTGTGCTGACTTGAGAACCAGTTTCTTGGAATAGCTCTAGGGTTCAATTGATTAATCAAACAAACAGCTCACCATTTCCAAAGACAGCCATTCGAGTCCTGTGCAGAACTAAAAGTCAAAGTCAGATTATTATAATTGATGACACATATTATCCTTTCTTTACATCCTATTGTAAAGTTTTACATTTCTGTTAAACAACCAAATAGTTTTTTGCCTAAAAGAAATACAATTATAACCATATTTTGTTCCTTTTGTTTAAGTAGCAACGTCCTGGGTGACTATCAAAGGGCTTCCTAGAACATTGGTAAGGGGGTCTCACCCCCTTGGGGGAGAGAATTTATTTAGCATATACTCAATAAAATCTTGTTAAAACATTACTGGGAAATGTATAAAAAAGGTATTTTGGTAGAACAAGTGTGTAGACATATTCTGAGAGGAAAATGTATTAAATTAATGTACATTTTTTAAAGCAATGTATCAGGGGGATCCAAGATTAGGTTAGGAACCACTGTTCTAGAAGAAAGACTTAAGAACCTCAAACACAAACAGCTTTCATGTTGACATCTCACACCTCCAACACATCTCTTTGCAGTATGTGCTGAATGAAACACATTTCTACACGTGTTTCTTAAACTTTGTCCCAAACTGCCATGAGGTGAAGTTGTGCTACTGTGAAAATGACAACAGGCAGCAGATAGGTTAGCGCTACTGTTACAGGCTGTTAAATGAAGATAGAGCTTTAATAATGAATGTGTTGAATAAAAGGGGTGACGAAGGGTTTTAAACTTGGAGTTTTTCCATTCTTTTCTGCCTTGAGAAGATTATTTTCCACTGAATTGGTTTCAGTTTGATAATATCAGACTTAACTGTCGTCAGGTGGTCACAATTTAAATATGATAATCTTGCTCAGTTTCTGCTGCTGTAAATAAGGCATTGTTGATTCCCATTACAGATGTATAATGCATAAATATCTTGATTTTTGCAGAATTAGATGAGTCCACTCAATGAGAGATGTGTTCATTTTTAGAATGCCAAACTAAAAAACAAGAGGTAACTTTATTAACTTAACAAGTTCATTCATATCCCTCTCTACCATTACATATCTCTGTCAGTCAAATATTTTACCTCGAGCCATCAATGCCTTAATTAAGCCCACATGCTAACAACACTCATTCTTACCTTGCCATTGGGTGCTGAAAGGCTTGTATAGCTTCTTTCTAAATGTGTTTCTTTCTAAACATTTTGTCTTTTACTTGCCAGGATACAGAGTTTCCAGGGTCAGAAGTTTACTCTGAGGCAGCGCTATCAGTTACACAAACTGAATGTTAACACTGTGACCTGTGTCATATATTCACCAACGTCTTGTAAAAATGCCAGTTACCTTGGCAGGGTGACATGAAGAACATAAATAAATCAATCAATACAAAGTAACTGTGTGACACAGAAGCTGTCCTCGTTCGTCTCTGTCTAAATTCAATCACACTGTTGGATCGACACCACAGTGGGAACATTTATCTCACAAGTGTAGATCTATCATCTGTCATGGAAATGTAACTTTTGGGAGTGTTTTGTTTATTTGTGCCATCACTAATGCCCTGTCCCGCAGTAGAGAAACATTTACTCCTTGAAAGAAAATCAAAATTAATGTTTGAAACAATGCAAACACATTGTGCAGACATCACCCGAATCTGTATCGTCTTCACACTGATCTGATACTGTAATTCATTTAATTAGAATAAAATTAACTTTTTTTTTCACTATAGGATTGTCACCAGAATTTTAAACTTTGATGACACTAGTAAAAATCAAACAATTACGACACCTGTTTCAATGCCGTTGCTACAAAATACAAGTCCTAGGACCCCAAAATTTCAAGAAAACTATTATAGTCTAAAATGCACAAAACATTGGCAATGTACTGAGACGTTGCCAAAGTATTGTGCTAACACGGCAGTGTGCAGGAGTGTGTTTGCAGTTTTTTGATGGATTCATCCCTCTCCTAAGCACCTTATGAAATACAGTGTCTTTTGAAATAGATGGAGTACAGTGTAATGTTAATCTGAGATTCTCTTCAATAAGTTTGATGCTAAAAGTCTGCCTTTCTCTGACGCTTCAAGGGACACAACATAACAGAATGGGACATAACACAGAAATGGGCTGCCAGCACAGTTACTGCTCACGTTAACTCAGCTCATTTGTAGGTACTCTGTTTGTTTTATGGTTAAGCGTTGATTTTTACGGGGGCTTAAATCAAGACCAGTGAAAGTCAGAATTCTCTGTTATACATTTTCTGAGCCAGACAAGGCAAAGATCAATGCAATTAAATAACATCCTACAGGGCTAATTGTATGCAGCTGTTCACTTTAAATCTTCAGTGGTACCGGTACGGTTTTCATTATTTGCCAGAAAACAAACCAACTTATCAGAAACGTATGAGAAAGAAAAAATGGTATTGGAAAATCTCTGATGATTATGTCTTGCAATCGATTTTTCTATTTTTTACAGAACTATGCATTTACTCACATAAATACACCCACTCACACGGATCACATGAATAAGTTAGCCCTGCTAGAGAACAGTGCTGATGGTGTCAAAGTCCTTGCTAATCTGAGAGCTGCTGGGCAATGACTTTAGGTACTCCAGGTGCCTCCTGGCATCCTCCTGATTGTGTCTCACATAGTAGATCACGTACGCAATCACCATGGTGAACCACCCGAACATGGTGACAAACATAGCTACATCTGTGGTCTTGTGGTGAAAGTTGCAGAAGTTGATCCCTGAGTCGAGCACCTGGATTACCGGTTTTCCCGCATATTCCTCCTGCACCGCCGTGTGGCAGATCACCTCGTTCACCGTCTCTGGGTCCAGACGCAGCTCCCTCAGGACCTCCTGCAGCATGCATTCGCAGTGCCACGGGTTGTTCGAGAAGCTGATTTTTGCTCGTAGACGAGCAAATGCCTCTTTAGGGACACTTTGGATTCGATTGTTTGATAGATCCAGGACAAGGAGGCTGTCAGAAACACCTTGAAAAGCTCCAACGTCCACCGTTTCTATGTCATTGTTGGACAGGTCCAGCTCCTGAAGGTAGTGCAGATCTTTGAAGGCGTGGTTCGGGATGTGGGTGATGTGGTTGGAGGCCAATAGTAGGACAACTGTATCCCTCGGAAGATCGGATGGGATTTTCTCCAAGTTGCGAGACATACATTGAACCACAGTCATGCCGTTCTTCTCTATACAGTGACATGTGGTGGGACAAGCCTTCACTTGAACACTTTTCATGAATAAAACAAAGGTCAAGCCCCAGAAGAGGGCAAAGCCATGACAGAGGGGTGGCTTCCTGGGCGTATCATGCCCCGCAAAGATCCGCATATTCAGCAGCAACCTCCCTGAAGTCCTGTCAGGCAAAAAGAATCATAGTTTTCCCTGTTCCTTCGCATTAAATGCTGATGGTTGCAGCTTCATTAGCTTTCAAAATTCCCAAATCATCCGTTCATTCAAACGAATATAAAGGGCTTATCTTGAGAGAATCCTTCCTATTTGATTTCAGAGTTTCAGATAATCTTTCGAAAAAGATTTCAAAAGAGGTCATCCGAAATCCGAGCTGCTCACTGAGCATATTCCAGCAGGGGAAAAATAATCCCAGGTTTATTTTGAGAACATTGTAAGCCTCAGAGAGTAATGCACGGTGCAAGCGACACTGGAGTCAGCATGGCATGTTGTGCCCTGAAAGAAAAGAAAAGTGTTATATTTCAACAGAAAACACAATAATGAACGTTTTAAAGGGCAGCAGGAGATGGAAATGGATGTATCAAACTTTCTCCAGTGACTCCTGCTAAATAAGTCATTTTCTAAGTGAACAGGCAATTGCCTTTGTCTTATATAATTGAGCTGAGTAAATGCTATTCCCACAATGTTTACAAATGCATAAAGTGATTATTGAGAAAAATCCATTTCACTTTTTGCAAATCTCATAAACCGGCAGTGCAGCCTTCTCTCATTCAATTAGGACCAGGTAATGCTGTTCTGCATTGTTTACTATGAACGTTACATGGAATTATCCTCTGATGCTTGTGCACTGTAGTGAATATCAATCATATTTAGCCTGCATTATTCCATACGTGGACAAAGACAGAGAAAAACACAAAACTATGGCAACGATTCATCATCTTTGGCTCCAGCAATGAGGAAAAGCTTCTCTCTGCACAGCTCCCTCACTTTAAGGACTGCTGTATCTCATTCAGTGGCACCTGATAAGAATAGCTGCAGGCTCCAAATTTACTCCATCTGTCCTGAAGGAGGATCATCACTTTAGCACTGCGCACCCTCTGCTGGGCTCAACTGAACACACAATGAGACCCTCGCTGTGTTTGAGGTCACCCACCCCACGGAGCCCGTGTCTTCATCTCATTTTCACTCCTTTTACTATTTGTCTGGGCTTCATTGCTTAAAGCCATGCACAAACACAAACTCAAACACAGAAGTCTTAAATAAGCCTCTCACGTTCACATTAGTCTTAGCACAGTATGAGGTGTGGACAAGATGTGGCACCTTCACATCTACACACACAAGGGCGTTTCAAACACCCTGCAGTTATGCTATGGCAACACTATCATTAAATTATTACTATTCATTTTGCACTTATTTTATTGTACCCTGTTTGGGATTGAATATAAATACGTTGTAATATTCCTTCTCTATTTTTTTTAATAAGGTGAGAAATAAGGCTCTTAATTGGCAACATCGACATGGCTTTTTCTTTAGTTTAGTAACGAAATACTTTATTTCAGTAAAAACTAAATTCTTTACCAAAGTATAAGACAATAAACCTTTCGTATCCTTAAAAAAAATGAAGAAATAAAGATTTAAAAAATAAAGGCTATTTAAACCAAAAAAAGGGTTTTTAAAAAAGTTGTGGAAAGATATTATGTATCAGGCTAATGATTCACTCATTTCAATTAACAATTTCAAGACGTCTTGAATACCCTATATAAATCGCATGGTTCTATTTGTATCAAAAAGAACATGTACACATGAGCTTTTGACTTGATTCCAATAATAGTAGCGTATCTGAATGGTAACTTACCAGAAAAGACTTTGCAGGGCATGAATGAAAATCATAAGCTTTTTTTTTTAATTCCTCCTCGTGCCAAGAAAAGATGGTGTTTCCTGCCAAAGCGGGTAAAAGGTTGGTGGTCCTGTAGTTTGCTCTTTTCACACCTGTAATATCCTGAAAAGACGGTGGGATCTCTTGAAATAAGTCATTTATTTACATAGAAAAGTACAATCAGCTCGTGCAGGAAAGAAGATGAAATAATCAAAAGGTAAAGTTCCAAAGCGGCACGCGGGGAAGTTAACAAATCTCGCTCCAGATGCGGTTCTTTCTATGTCCTCTCATAACACACAACACAATTGTCACACTTGTTGGTGCTGATGTTGGTCGCGTTGGTCTTCTGGCAACGTCTCGAGGAGCCGCACCTGTCCGACTCATCACGCGCCTCTCTCTCTCCGCACCGGGGCGCGCGTGGCGCCAGAAGGAGTCCCGGCTGCGCGTGGAATGGTACTGCTTCTCTGCTGGCAGCTCTCCTCGTCCTCCCGTTCCCCCGCCTGGCTGTCACACAGTCTGACTGCCTGTTTGTCCTCCTCCCTCGGCTGCCCTGTCTGCACCTCCTCTCTCCCCAGAGTCTTCTTCTCTCTAAAACAATTAACCTGACAAATATGAGCATTAAGTCTGAAAACTGTTCCTGGGTGCAAAACAATAGATGGCAGCTGCTTTGGTAATGACTGTTTAGTTGTAAATCAGGCGAACAAGTCCTTAAGATGTTCAGAAAAATGTTCTTTTCATTTCCTTTTTTTTTTTTAACAGCATGTTAATCTATTCCTAAACATGGCAATGAAAAGTCAATGATATCAATTCTAATGTAAAACAGCCCACCTCATGGCCTTGCCCATGTCAGACTGAACAGTGATGTATTGATTACTTTAATCACCCCAAGTGCTGAATCCAACAGACGATCGAAGAGCCAACATGTTAGGGATTTATCCGCACAGCAGTGGATCAAGATGTCATCTTTTACTTCTGCATTGTATTCTGCTGCTAATTGCCCTAATCAAACTGTGAAGGCTGATTCCACAGACACATGCCGAATGCAAACAAGACTAAATGTTTTGGGATTGTCTCTCACTTAATGCTTTGTGACTTTCAATGACAGTGAGAGCGAGCACAATACAAGAGTGCGTCATTAAAAGCTAATGCATACACGGTTTATAACAAAGTCATTGTGGCTGTTTTGTTAAAGAAAATACCTGAAATTGTACCCACAGAAAAGTGTTTTTCCTCACAATTATGCATTTGCTCACTATGAGACAATTCAGACTCATAATATCATAAAGGATTTATTCTACAACTACAAGTAGCATACATTTCCTTGATTTAGTACTATAAAAATAAAACTGTCAACACACCACATGAGTATAATTTGCAACAGTTCGGTAAACAAGGTCACATCCCAAGTGACCTTGTCAGATTGACTAAACATGAACGCACATTTGTGGAGGAACATTGTTGTTTTAATTTCATTGGAAGAACTTGACGATCAAAAGCTAATCTAAACTGTTGAGGCAAGTTACATTGTTATGAAATGTTTTTGTTCGGGAAAGTGCTCTGACTCATTTCCTCATAACTCTTGTTTAAGTGTAACACCAATTATAAGAAACAGAGTCAAGTCAATCTTCCAGATAACCTTGAAAAGAGCACAAAAAATATATATCTGAAAAAGTATGGGCTTATAGAAAGTCTAAGCGATAGCTTCAATTCCATTTACTTCCTCCCCCTTGTGATTCATATGTAGGTCAGCTGGTCCCAATGTTCCAGTGTCATTTGAGCTACGGAGGAGTGCGACTTGTTCATGGGGCCAGTCCTGCCACAGACTCCAACGCACAGTGAGCCAGCTGGTGTGATTAATTGGGTTATATGTGGCACTTCACTGGAGCTTAATGTTGGTTAGTACACAATCATGGATTTGAGTGTGGGTTACCATGGGGCTGTTGGTCGTATGATCTATTTACCGGGACATTCTATCAGTCTCATGAAGATGCATTTAATTACATTATATTTGTAATTAGCTGTGAAATGGTGTCATAATGAGCTCACAGTCACACTTAAAGCAAAAAGGGAGTCATGGGAATTAACAATATACTACTTTAATTTCACAGCAAACTGCTTGCATGAGAAAGCCCCGGAGAATTATCAAACAACTCTGCAGTTTCCCTCAGTTTAACGTTGAGTTTCAGCATCGAACATTTAGCAAATTGTTTTCTTAGGGGGGTTTCCACATCTTTACTGATTTGTTTAAGTCTCACAGGAAGCATAAACCTTCCTTTGAACCATAGCATAAAGCTGTTGGCAGCAAAAAGAAGCTCTTACACCCAGGGGTTGGTACAGATTTTTTTGATTGGGGTGACCTAGCTGAAGCACTGACTTAGCTGCAAGAGTAACTTCTGAACACACAATCATCTAAATAAAATAAAAACATTTGCATCTCTTTGTCTCTTCAGTATATATATAATAGAATTGTTAACATAAGAACATTCATACAGTTATGTACTATGTAAATTGAGATTTTACAGACAGGTTAAAAACAGAAGAATGTGCTACTTTGAAATACAACTACTAGTAACTTGTTGCTTGTTGTTATTATATTATTATTATTATTATTATTATTATTATTATTATTATTATCATAAAACATGGAAGTAGTCTCAGTGATGTCACCCATTGGTTTCTGAAGCCGAACAATGGTGGTGGCCATATTGGAAAAGCTGACTACCAAATTCTCAGTTAACCTAGCAAAAGGCAAAGGGTAGGAGCTGAGGCGGGCCTTAATCCTCGTGGCAAACAGCTACGATGCATGCACCTGTAAGTCAACATGGCCATGCCTGTAATTGTGCAATATTATGCAAAATTTCACATAAGAATAACAAATGGGTTATAAAAAAAAAAATCACCCACCATACGTACGTATGTATCACTAAATAAATTAGCTATTGATACCAAATTAATATTTTTTATCCAGGCTGTAACCATGTTTATTTCTGCTGTCAAAATGGGCATTGTGATATGGGAACGAACGGGGATTCCTCAGTTTTTGCCTCCAGCCTCAAGTGGACACTGGGGAACTGCAGTTTTTTGCTCTTCCAAATTACTTCGTTTTTCACCACCAGAGGGTTGGCTTTTTTTTTTTTTTTTTTTGCCAGACTTTGTTGTTTTTCTTTTTTTATTTGCACTCTGTGGACTTTGGACACATGAAGTGTCCCCTTTTTGTTTGCACTAATAAACATCCTTGACTGAATTATTATGATCTTCATCCCTTGTGATTTACCGACCTTGATAATCATAGGGTACATCAGAAAATATCATCATCATATTGTGAAAAAATTAAGCTTTGAATCCCAATTGTCTCCTTGCCTTTGCCATAGTGCAGACGTACTGGCCCTAAATAATTTGCTGCTTGGTCATAGATGGGTTCTTCTAAAAAAGAAAATCTTTTTAAGAAAGACTAGCTAAGATTTGATGGATACTACAGTCTATTTCTGCGTACACCCTTATTGTTCTGTGATAAATAAGCAGAAAAGAGAGTCAGGTTTCAACAGCTCCATGATTCACTGCCTTCACCAGGGAAATTCCA